ACTGGCATTTGTGGTTTATGGGGACTCTCCATAGGCATAATGGTTTTTATACTGTACAATATGTATTTTCTATCATCCTACACCAACCCTACATCTAACCCTAGCCCTTACAGGAAACTACTGGCAATTTTTAACGAGATCTCTCATTAGCAAGTAAGTAGCACACAGTACATAGCAACACCCTAGCAACCACATTGCAACATTCTAAAATGCAGAGTCTGAGAATTCTAGTGAAAATGCTTCTATTTTGCATTAATAATAATAATGATAATTTTAACGTAATTTAATAAAATTATAAATGATATTAGCAGGCTAACATTTTTAGAGAAAAGGTATATTGATAAAAAAAAAAAAAAAAACACATTACAAGGGCTAAATATTCTCTATAAAAATACAAAAATACATAAATAAATAAATACATATAAATATATATATTTACACCCTTAGGATAAATCCTATACATTTCCTATAAATAAAATAAAATAACAAAAATACCTTTAGAAGGGCTAAATCCTATATATTCCCTATAAAAAAATATAAATATAAAAATTTAAATAAATATTAACAATCATATATATATATATATATATTACAGAGGTCATGTTTACCTTTTAGAAGGGCTAAATATTCTCTATAAATATTCTATGAATATTCTTTATAAATAAATAAATACACCCCAACAAACTAACAACTAAAAAATTATTACACAGGTCATGCCCCCACCCCTTTTTTCATTTATTTATTTTTAAACATATATTTATACCCTTAGGACAAACCCTATACATTTGTAATAAATAAAATAAAACAAAAAATAATTAATACAAATAAAAATAGATGGGCTAAATCCTATACATTCCCTATAAAAATTTCAAATGAAATAAATAAATACAAACATCTCAATTACAGAGATCATATTTCCCTTTCTAGACATATTTTTATACCCTTAGGATAAATAAAACAAAACAAAGCAAAATAAAATATAGTACAAATAAATCCTAATCAATCAATACAACACCTAACAAACTAAAATATTATCACCTTGACATGTATAATAGCATATTACATGATACACTATTTGTGTACTCTTAGAAGGGATAGATCCTATACATATAATATATAAATCAATAAATGTATAAATAAAGTCCTGCATCCTCACATGGTGATGTGTGTGTCCTGCAGGGGGCATGGGGTCTGTGCTGTGGAGTCCAGCGCTGAGCTCCAGGCCACGGCCGGGAATCCTGCGGAGGGCCGTGTTCTCTGAGGAACAGAGACGAGAGCTGGAGAGAACCTTCTGCAAGCAGAAATACATCAGCAAGACCGACCGCAACAGACTGGCCACCGACCTCTGTCTGAAAGAGACTCAGGTCAGAGCACAGAAACACACGCACAACCTTCTGAACAACCTGTGCTGCTTCAGAAAGCTGTGGAAACCGTGATACACGACTCTTTAAAGAAATTAATACTGTTATTCAGTAAGGACCCGTTCAATTGATCAAAAGTGACAGTAAAAACATTTATAATGTTGAAGATTTCTGTTTCAAGTAAATGCTGTTCTTTTCTATTCATCTGTGAATCCTGAAAAATAAAATGCATCGTGGTTTCCATAAAAATATCCATTATCACAACTGTTTTCAACATTGATAATAATCAGAAATGTTTCTTGAGCAGCAAATCAGCATATTAGAATGATTTCTGAAGATCATGTGACACTGAAGACTGGAGTAATGATGCTGAAAATACAGCTGCGCATCACAGAAATAAATTACAGTTTAACACATATTCACGTAGAAAACTTCTATTTTAAATTGTAATAATATTTCACTATATTACTGTATTTACTGTATTTTTGATCAAATAAATGCAGCTTTGGTGAGCAGAAGAGACTTCTTTCAAAAACATTAAAAAATCTCGACCCCAAAATATTATAAAAATTGTAAACTGTTTTGATTAACATGATAAATGCTTTAAGCTGAATGCGATCAATAGACACCTCTATATTTACGGTTTGACGTCAAACCTGGGTTTTCACACTCTGTAAGTCGATGCAGTTTGTTGAATCCGGTTCATGTGTCCCGCAGGTGAAGATCTGGTTCCAGAACCGCAGGATGAAGTGGAGGAACTCCAGAGAGAAGGAGAGCACGTACACGCGACTGCCGATGGAGAGACTCATGCTCTGGAGTGAATCTGAACCGGCGGACAAAACACACACGTCAGCGCAGACCAAACACACTCACACACACTCACCGGCGCACAGCACAAACACTGAGACCAGATGACACATCAGAGGAGAGAACAGACTCTTGATGCTAAACAGCTGGGACATATTCCTTCCGAGTACCTGGAAATGTCTGGGAAATATTACAGTTGTGGTTTACAGGCCTGGAAATGTCTTAAGAAGTGATGGAAAAGTCAAACTTTTAGCAAAACTTAACACTAGCTAAAATGAACTAACAATGGAAAAAATAGTTCATGTTCATTTCAACATTATGAAATACCAAGTCATAATTATGAAATAAAAGGTCTAAATTATGAGCTACAGAGTTATAATTAGGACGTAAAAATTAAAAAAGAGATACTAAATCATAATTATGAAATAAAAAGTCTAAATTATGAGATACTAAGTCATAATTATGAGATAAGAAGCTGAAATGATAACAAAAACATAATTATGACAAAAGTAAAAAAAATGAGATACTAAGTCATAATTATGAAATTAAAAGTCTAAATTATGAGATACTGAATCATAATTATGACAAAAGTAAAAAAATGAGTTATTAAGTCATAATTATGAACTAAAAGGTCTAAATGATGAGATACAGAGTTATAATTAGGACGTAAAAATGAAAAAAGAGATACTAAATCATAATTATGAAATAAAAAGCATAAATTATGAGCTACTAAGTCATAATTAAGAGATAAAAGTTGAAATTATAACAAAAATCATTTATAATTATGACAAAAGTAAAAAAATATGAGATACTAAGTCATAATTATGAAATTAAAAGTCTAAATTATGAGATACTGAATCATAATTATGACAAAAGTCAAAAATGAGTTACTAAGTCATAATTATGAGATAACAAGCTGAAATGATAACAAAAACATAATTATGATAAAAGTAAAAAAAATATGACTTAAGTCATAATTATGAAATAAAAAGTCTAAAATATGAGATACTAAGTCATAATTATGAGATAAGAAGCTGAAACGATAACAAAAACATAATTATGACAAAAGTAAAAAAATATGAGATACTAAGTCATAATTATGAAATAAGTCTAACTTCTGAGATACTAAGTCATAATTATGAAATTAAAAGTCTAAATTATGAGATACTGAATCATAATTATGACAAAAGTAAAAAAATGAGTTATTAAGTCATAATTATGAAATAAAAAGTCTAAAATATGAGCTACTAAGTCATAATTATGAGATAAAAAGCTGAAATTATAACAAAAACTTATAATTATGACAAAAGTAAAAAATATGAGATACTAAGTCATAATTATGAAATTAAAAGTCTAAATTATGAGATACTGAATCATAATTATGACAAAAGTAAAAAATGAGTTATTAAGTCATAATTATGAAATACTAAGTCATAATTATGAGATAAAAAAGCTGAAATTATAATTATGAAATAAGTCTAACTTCTGAGATACTAAGTCATAATTATGAAATTAAGTCTAAATTATGAGATACTAAGTTATAATTATTAAATAAGTCTAACATGAGATACTAAGTCATAATTATGAAATAATTCTAACTTATGAGATACTAAGTCTAACTTATGAGATACTAAGTTATAATTATTAAATAAGTCTAACTTATGAGATACTAAGTCATAATTATGAAATAATTCTAAATGATGAGATACTAAGTTATAATTATTAAATAAGTCTAACTTATGAGATACTAAGTCATAATTATGAAATAAGTCTAACTTATGAGATACTAACTCATAATTATGAAATAATTCTAAATGATGAGATACTAAGTTATAATTATTAAATAAGTCTAACTTATGAGATACTAAGTCATAATTATGAAATAATTCTAAATTATGAGATACTAAGTTATAATTATTAAATAAGTCTAACTTATGAGATACTAAGTCATAATTATGAAATAATTCTAACTTATGAGATACTAAGTCATAATTATGAAATTTAAGTCTAAATTATGAGATACTCAATAAATTATGAAATAAAAAGTCTAAATTATGAGATACTAAGTCATAATTATAAGATAAAATATAAAGATAATAAAGATAAGAAGTCATATTTATGAGACAAAAGCCTAAATTAAGAGATACTAAATCGTAATTACTATCAATGAATGAACAGTTGTATTTAATTAACTAAAATGAACAAAGATGAATAATACTGTAACAAATGTATTGCTCATTGTTAGTTAATACATTAATTTGAACAAATGGGACCTTATTATAAAGTGCTACTAAAATTTCTATAGTGAATATTCATTTATCATTCTCACTCATATTCAATATTTTATTGGCTAGAAATTGCGCTTTGTGAGTGCGAGCTCTATAAAGTAATTGTAAAAGTTTGAAATATTTCACCTGAACGAGTCATGAAATTTGGTGCAAAAGTGCTGTAAAATATGCCTCAATATGATGAATGTGAATAATGCCACAGCTCTTTATCATCGCAAATGCATGTGTAATTAGGTGATTTGAATTCTCGCTATTACTGCAATTATGATCATTAAGCTCTTTATAAGATGCACAACTAATTACCATAACAAGCTCAATTACATCTGCTTGATTTTTAATCTTGCATAAAGTGTACATTGTAAATTTTGAATTACGTTTAGATGGGAAACATTACTTTTTAAATAAAATGAGATTGAACATTTATTTCTTTTGCTTCGGCATTTTGACATTCATCTCTAATTGCAACAACAGTTTTACACACTTTCACAGAGCAACACTTGACATCTCATTTCAGAGATATAAATAGATGCCAAATGAAGCCACTCGAGGTGCCTGTGAACACAAGAGCATCTCCATTAGCTGCCTGCAACACCTCAAAACAAACACACGCCGGCAGCGTGTCGCTTATCTGCTGTAAAGCTGGAGTGACATGATCAGGTTCAACTCATACCATCAACATCTTCACGCTGAAAATGACAACAGCCATGATTTCAATCTATGGAAGCCCATTTCTGCCATATAAAAAATGAAAAGTCATGCTTTGGTAAATAAAAAGTTGAAATTATGAGATACAAAGTTAAAATTATGACACTGAAAAGTCATAATTATTGAAATAATCCTAATTACATTTCTGTCACATATAAAAAAAAAATATTGCTTTGGGAAATAATCATTATGACATAAAAAGTCATAATCATGAAATAAAAAGAAAATAAGAATTATGACAAACATCAAAAATATGAGATACTAAGTCATAATTATTAAATAAAAAGTCGAAATTATGAGATGAAAAGTAATCATGACAAAAAAATGAGATATTAAGGCAAAATTATAAAATTAAAAGTCTAAATTATGATATACTATGTCATAATTATGAGATAAAAAGTCAAAATTATGAGATAGTTGATTATGAATCAAAAAGTCATAATTATGAGATAAAAATTCAAAATTATGAGATACTAGGTCATAATAATAAAATAAAAGTCTGAATTATGAGACCCTAAGTCATAATTAGGAGATAAAAAAAAAAATCTAAATTATGAGATATTAAGTCATAATTATGAGATAAAAAGTCTACATTACAACAAAAAGTTATAATTATGGCATAAAAAGTCAAATTTATTAGATACCAGGGGCATTTCTAGTAGATATCCGGGGCTCAGCCTAGAGACATCCATGTATGTGTCATGAATACACAGGATACTTATTTAATAATAATAATAATAATAATAATAATAATAGATAATAAAATTCAATCATCACAACACATTTCACCTGTTCTGTGTTCATCTGCTCTTTTTACATTAACTATCACTCTATACAGACTAATACAATCAGATACAACTATCATTTCTCAAATATTTATTACAATATCTACTGATAAACTGAACGTTCACTTCAATGGCAGGCTATGAGAGACTGGATGCTTTCAGCTGATTTCTATTGAACTGTCAGCAACTGAACTGCAGCTCAAACTATTTCTAATATAGTCAATAAAGCTACAAACTCCATCATAAAGCACAATGTTTCCATCTGACATGTGTTTTGAGCAGCAGCTCGTCACGATCGGTGCATGCTCAACTATTATATAATAATTATGAAAGTCTAAAATATGAGATACTAAGCCAATTCTGAAATAAAAGTTATAATTGTGACAAAAAGTAAAAATATTAGATACTAGTATATTGGATACTAACATTTATGAAATTATAAGTCTAAATGATAAGATATTAAGTCATAATTATGAGATAATTATCTAATAATTAAAAATAATTATGAGATAAAAAGTTGAAATTCTGACATAAAAAGTTATAATTTGGACAGTAAGTCAAAATATCATAATTATGAGTTTAAAAGTTACAATTTTATACTTTTTATGTCATAATTATGACTTTATCTCTTAATGATGATTTTTTAATGTCATAATTATGATTCACCAAAACATTTTTTTTTTCTTATGTGGCAGAAATGGGCTTCCATACTGTTGTTATTGTAGCTGTAAATTACCCTAATATGAAAGTTCACTTATTTAAAATGGATAGTTACAGATGAACCATAAACATTTACTGAGTTATTAAACTGCTGTTTCCAACTTTGAGTAAAAGCAATAAACTTCTTGCGGCTGCTTCACATTGTGTACAACCTTAAATTGTTTTTTTCATGGCATACTGCATTAATGAAGGATGGTAAAGGTATCATCTCTATAAAATAACAGATGGCTGATATGTTTAATAGTTTTAAATATTTGTCATTATGCTACCGAAGTTCACCCTCAGACGAATGGTCACAGTGTGAAAGTGTGAGATCAGTTTTGTGTCACTAGGGGTCAGTGTTTTGCAATAAATGACACAATGTCACTGCTGGGGCTTTACCAAAATCAGCTGATCATGCTTCACTAATAGAAATACCATATCAGCAAGTTTTAAACATGGTTTTGGACATGTACCATCAAAATACCATGGTGTTTTTTTTAATAATTGGAAAATCCATGTAAAAACCACAGTGAATGTACCACAGTGTTACCATCTGATACCATAATTGTACCACGGTACAGTACGTTGGTATTTTTTTCCTATAAAGTCTTAATTATAATAAGGAATG